TCAGAGGTCATTTCGGGGGGGGAACGCTGGGGAACGCAGTTCCCCCGGGTGAGGTACGGGGGGCGGGGCACATGATGAAGCCCCGCCCCCTGCTTCTGGCCACCCTGCTTTCGGCCCTCATTCAGCCAGGAGGAGGCAGGAGAAGAGGGAGGGTAAGTTGCTTCCTCCCTGCCTCTCCCCACCCCTGCCTGCCTGGGGCCAGGGAGGGCCTTCGCGGGGCTTCCTTGCACTCCCGCCAGACGGGACCATTGGGGGCGGGGTGTGTGGCCTTATGACACACTTCTGGTGCTGTCAGGGGGTGTGACCTTATGACACACTTCCGGTGATGTCAGGGGGTGTGGCATATGCTAATGAGTTATGCTAATGAGTTCCCCTAGCTCTTTTTCTACAAAACGACCCCTGGTTAGAGTATTAGATTTTTGGTAGGAAGGGGGGGGGCTATTGTTTTTTTTTACTTTTAATTTTTGTTTAAGTGCAGGCTCCTCACAAGGCACATTTAACAAAAGGCCCAAAGCATGGACTTATACATAGTTTAAAAAATATTTTATACAGAAAAATCCTATTACACGTCCAGGATCTTGGCTGGGAATGGAAATATGTTGATCCTGGATTGTATATGATGCAAAGGGAGAACTTGGTTTTAAGTGTAAGCCGTGCCCTCTCTTGCACCACATACCCTCCGGCATCCAGACCCTCTCTGCCGTCTCTTGGAGATCCAGGCTCCCGAGTTTGGGCAGCGGAAGGGCTGGTGCACTGCCTGAGACTCCACAGGCTTAACCTTCACAAACGCAGTTCTTCGAAACAGGCTGCTACATATCTGCAGCCCCTCGAGTCAAAAGCTCGAGAGAAAAGGCTTCGACGGCAGTGCTGCTCATAATCCTGATGATGAGGCCAAGCTAGGTGTCATGGGATTCTTCACCGGGGCACTGCCTGTCAACTCTTCCTTGCCTTCACCTCCTTCCCAGCAGTCTTTTTTCCTCCTCCTCCTCCTTTCCCTACCCCGTGGGCCTTGAAACCAAAAGTGCTTGTAGCTGGGGAACGGTGGGTGGGGCCACAGTTCGTGTTTCAGTCCGGTTTCCCCTGGCTTTGCTGACTCTTCTGCAAGTGCACCCACCCGTCCACCATTTCCCATGATCTCAACACATGCCATGTTGGAATCAGCATAATATCATCCTGTGCTCTACTGAGAAACAGTGTTCCGTCTGAGCTGAGTCAGTGTGAGCCAGCTCACAGTTTTTTAGCCTCTGGCTCACACATGTTTCTCTTCGCTCAGGAAGGACGGCTCCAGAGCAGACTAATTTATGCAGTAGCCAAATAGCTGGCTCACAGCTTTAATGCCAGTAGCTCACAAAGTAGAATTTTTGCTCGTGAGGCTACAGAGCTTAAAAGGGAGCATTGCCGAGGAATGCCCTTTTCTGCATAAAAATGGAGGCACGCTTCACCCTTCCTCATAAGGTTTTCTTTTAGGACTGAAAAGAATAAGAGGATTCCCTCCTTTGTGGGATGAGTCAGTAATCTGGCGTAGGTCCTGATTGGAAACAGGCCAAAACAGTGACTCATGCAGAGATACATCAGCCAACTTCCTCTGTGATAGAACAATTGACATATCACTTGCAGCATGCTGGCAGTGCTCTCCAGCAGAGACTCTTGGGACTGCTGAGCTAGAGGAGTTGTCTGAGCACTAACAGCCTGGGGGAATCGTTCTGCTGGGCACACAATAAGGAGTCCTTTCACCGTTCCTCCATTAAGCGGCTCAAACATTATACAGCCATATCGTTCATGCAAGAAAGAACTTTGTGTAATGCTTCTTTTATTAGGACCACTTGACAATTTGGTGGGTCCTAATAAAAGGTGTTACATAGGGTTTCATTCTTGGTTTTGGGTTTTCTTCTGCGGCAGTTCGTTTTCAGTCAGCTTCTGCCCTGCCTGCAGTTTCCTCGAAGACAGGAGACTTAGATAGAACTGGGTTTTTAAAGAATTCCTCCCATATTTATTTATGTATTTGTTTGATTTGATTTGTATCTCGCCCTCCCCGCCGGGGCAGGCTCCGGGCGGCTTACAGGCATGTATACAAATATAGTAAAACACAAAATATTTTAGAACAGATAAAACAGTTAAAACCATCACAGTTTCAAAGTGCTAGAAACTACAGGTGATAGGCGATGGCGGCGTTCTTTCGGCATCCAGATAACAACCAGTACCATTGTCCAGGTCCATGCCGGGCTATTAGATGTTGGGGCCAGGGCCATGGCGTTAGCAGCTGCACCCTAATTGAAAGCTTGGCGGAAGACCTCCATTTTACAGGCCCTGCAGAACTGTAAAAGGTCCCACAGGGCCCTGATGTCCTCCGGGAGCTCATTCCACCAGTACGGGGCCGCCACAGAAAAGGCCCTGGCCCTTGTCACGGCTAGCCTGGCTTCTTTGGGCCTGGAAGGGCCAGACGGTGTTGGGACCCCGATCTTAGTGCTCTCTGGGGAACATGCGGGGAAGAGCAGTCCCTTAGGTAAGCAGGTCCCTGACCCTATGGGGCTTTAAAGGTAAGAACCAGCACCTTGAACCAAATCCGGTATGCTGTAGGCTGCCACATCTTGGTTTTATGCGCTCTGATATGTTCTACGTCCAGTGATGAATGTGAAAGCCATACTTTATTTTTGGTGGTATTCTTGATTTTTAAAACCACACACTTTCTCTGAACTGGCCACTGACTTTTTAAAGCTCCTGTCCCATCTGGAGGTCAAAAGGAAATACCGGAAGTACCAGCTCCATTTCCCTCCCAGTTCAAGGAAACGTGTTCCGAGTTTCTGCCTGCCTCTTGACCCAGGGTTCGCCTGGACTCCGTGCCTGACTCCCAACTGACCTTGGCGGTGCTTCTTGTTCTCCTGTCTCCTAGGTGGGGCACCGCAGCTTCCTCCCGACCCCCCCACTTCCCTCTGGTGAGATGCCACGGCATCCGTTCACCTTGTGATGTCTCTTCCCACCCTGAACAGCACTGGCATCTTCCCGTGAGGGTGAGGTAAGTCCATCAAACCACCGCGCAGCCATCCCCCCCAGGGACACACGGTGCCTTTCCTGCATTCCCACTGGGCAGCCCAGGAGGCGACAAAGTGAGAGTGCCGGAAACGGCCACGGTGGACTTGCGTTACCCCCACAGAGAAGGAGGCTGCAGTGCTGTTCAGGAATGGGAAATGATATAGGCAGTGCATGCGGGAATGCCCCTCTCGCTGTCACAAGGGCAACTTCCGCTCGTCCCGCCATCACCGACCTCTTTCTGCCCTCCCTACATTTTAGAGGAGGCATTCAGTAGTTTTTTTTGCTTAGGCTAGCTAACATTTACAGCTCACGCCTTCGAGAGATGCTTTGTAGCAGTCACCCAAAAAATAGCCTGCTTAAGTGTGTCCACTAAAGGCTGAGCTCGCACAATATATTTGGCCACAAGTCAGGCTGGGGTTCCCGTGATGACCAGTGTTCCCTCTAAGCTGAGTCAGTGTGAGCTAGCTCACAATTTTTTAGCCTTCGGCTCATACACCTTTGTCTTGCTCAGGAAGGATGACTCCAGAGTGAACTAATTTAGGCAGTAGCTCAATCGCTCGCTCACAACTTAAATGCCAGTAGCTCACAAAGTAGAATTTTTGCTCACCAGACTCCACAGCTTAGAGGGAGCATTGCCCATGACCCGACTCACTTTTGGTTGTTGGGGATCTTGCTTCCCCAAGCACCTCAGGGCTCAATTTCGAGTGGAAATGTGCCACTGGAGGAGGAGGAGATCCAACACCCCACCCCACCCCGCACTGTATTCCTAGGCTGAAATGGAGCACTTTTAGTCCCATCGCCTGGTCGCACAAGCAGTATTTGGTGCACATCCAACCCCACAGGGGGGCAAATAACATTGCCCCCAGAGACATTGTGGCTTGTGAAAACAGTGTGCTTTGGGGATGGTGGAGCTCCTCTTTCCCAGGTGCCCCAGTCCCAAACTCAGTTGGGTTCTGCAGAGCTTGGGGAAGTAATGATTCCTTGTTTTAGAAAGTGTGTGTGTCTTTAAATGTTTGGTTGGAGTGCAGTGATAGCAGAGTAGAATGATTGAGGGAGACAAGTGTACTGTGATTGGTGGATGACAGAGTGTGGGGGGAGTTGTTGGGAGTAAATGGGTGTGTATCAAATTAGTCAGTTATGAAAGTCAGTTAGAGACAGCAGTTGGAGTTTTGAGAGTGAGTCAGAGGCAGTGAGAGTTATTCAGTTAGTAAATCTGTCAGTGAATGACGACAGAGTGCTGTGTGGAAACATAAAGTGTTCAGAATATATGCCTATTGAAACAGAGATTCTTGTCAGAGAAGGATCTTGTGATCAAAAGACTGTGTATGATACCCTGCCAGTTTATTTTTCCAGTTTCTCTTCCCCATAACAGTTACAGTTAACCAGCAACTCATTTTTGTTCCAAAATTCAATAAATCATAGTTTGTTTGAGTTTAACCCAGTATTCAGTTCACTCCTTCCACAGGGCCACAGAGACCTCTGAAAAGCCCAGACTCTAGGCCACTTTTACCAACAGCTAATGAGAGAAGATTTGGAATTCGTTTAAATTCCGGGTGGCAGCAGGAACTACCCTGTTTGTGAACACAAAATATAATTTAAAGTGAAAACAAGTCCTCCCCAAATAAGAGACGCCACAGGGACGTAGAGAAAACAAGTTGGGGAACCCTGATTCAACTCAAAGCCAGGCATTTTGTATAGCTCCGCCCTCGCTCAAAGGTGCCGGGGAATTCTGTTTCTCCTGCTCGCCTGCACCTTCTGAATGGTCTCATTTGCAATAGCGAGCATTTCACGAACAGTACAAAATCCAGTCTCCCTCAAAGGCAGTGCTCCTTTGTGCCGTTAAAGGGACGTCTGTGCGGGGTGTTCTGTATATTCTACGTCCATCAGTTCTCCTTAGTGTATTTTTCTGCCAAACTGGGCGCTGCCCCTTCTCCGACTTTCAGTTTGAAGCTTGGTGTTTTTGCTTTTAGTTGCCTACTACCTCCCTCCCTTCTCCCTCCATTCTCTGTTCCAATGGAGAGGATATAAAGAGAATGCAGAGGCGTCAGGGCTTAAACGCAAGCGGTCCGAAGGTATGGCAATCGCCGATTTGTTTTCTTGTCTTCTCCTTGCATAGGACTGTTTTCTGTTGTAGCTAGCATCTCTCAGTTTAGTGTGTTAGATAACCTTGTGCTTCCACGTCTGCATGGTGTCGAGTATCTTCTTCTGCAGCAGAGCAGAAGGAAGAAAGCATCGTGGGTCTTAGTGAGAAGATCCGTGCTTTTTTGGAGTACAGCGAAAAAAAATGTGCCTGTCAATGTCCTAACCATGCGTACTAACAAGTCATCAGGAAACTAAAACGTTTGATGTGTTTTCAGTACCATGTGTTGTGCATTTCCTTTCTTCACATAAAGGATTTTCCTTGCTGTAAACCGTGCACAACTACTTCCAAAAGGTTGTCTAAGTATCCATGAATTCCATCCAGAGTTGTGTTAACACAGGGGGTGTCAAACATGCGGCCTGGGGGCCGGATCAGACCCCCAGAGGGCTTTCATCAGGCCCGCAGTGGAACTGGCTGTCTTCTGCTTCTTCCAGTTCCGCTGCGGCTGCGTCATCGTAGGTTTGCAGCTTACAGATACACACCTGAACAGCATACTCAAGATTGCAACAGCACAGACATTTTGATGCAAGAGGTGTCAGTTATCAGACACTGATAAATAAACAAAATATTGCAAGAGTGCTAATGTTTTTAGCATGTTTTTATTTTAAGTTTTAAAAAAACCCTTTGTGTTTGTGTCCTTTATAAAGTTTATATCTCCGCTACCTGACATTACATTTTATGGCACACGTGGCCCGGCCCAACAAGGTCTCATTTATGTCAGATCCAGCCCTCATAACAAATGAGTTTGACACACCTGTGTTAATGGGTGGGTGGGATCTTGGGGGTGGGTCTCCAGTTCTCTTTCCCTCTGTTCAGTTGTGAAGCTCACTGAAATGGTCTTGGTCAAATCACTGGGTCACAATTTAACTTAATTTAAAGGACTGTTATGGGGATTAATGAAAGAATAATCCACCACATTTGTGATGTACGGCAATGCAAATTGTGTAGAATAGCTTGGAATTTTCCCCTGAGATCTCCCATGTTGAACTTAACATAAAAATGTCCTTCTAAGTAGCTGCATGACTTCTCTCTCTCATTACCTATTGCAGATCCAATCAAATAACTTTTGGGGAGTTGTCATCACTGATTGGGCTTGTTTTTAATAATCTGCTGTCTCTCATATTTGTTATACTTTGTTTGGCATGTCTGTTATTCTCATTTGCATCTGTGTTACCCACGAAAAAGAAGCACAGCACTGCTAGTTGACCCGGGGGGCGGGGTATTGGCCTGATTGCCAGCAGCATAACACTGCTTTCACATGGCAGTCTAACTAGTACTTTTCTTTGGTTCCACATGGCTGCCATATCACTGTAGCATGCTAGTGATCTACTTATTAGCTCCTTTGAATCCCCAGCTTTCTTTTGGTTGATGTTAAAAAGTAATATCTGATCCCTTTTTGTTGCAGAGATATAAGGGTAAAGTCATATCTCTACAACAGAAAAGAACTAGAGACTTGCTTTATTTTTAAAACGAAAGCTGGAAATATCCTCTGATGGGAGGGGGCATTTGAAGACAAGGCAGCTGGTGTTGATGAGAGCCAGTTTGGTGTAGTGGTCAAGTGTGCGGCCTCTAATCTGGGAGAACTGGGTTTGATTCCCCACTCCTCCACTCGCACCTGGCTGGATGACCTTAGGCAAGCCATAGCTCTGATAAGAGCTGTCCTTGAAAAAGAGCAGTTTCTGTCAAGAGCTCTCTCAGCCCCACCTACCTCACAGGGTGTCTGTTGTGGGGAGGCAAAGGGAAAGGAGTTTGTAAGCCGCTCTGAGACTCCTTTGGGTAGTGAAGGGCAGGGTATAAATCCAATCTCTTCTCTTCTTTTTCAAATTGTCTCAGACAGAGTTCTTTCACATCACCTACTGTGCCAGTTTGGTGTAGTGGTTAAGTGTGCGGACTCTAATCTGGGAGAACCGGGTTTGATTCCCCACTCCTCCACTTGCACCTGGCTGGATGGCCTTGGTCAAGCCATAGTTCTGATAAGAGCTGTCCTTGAAAAAGAGCAGTTTCTGTCAAGAGCTCTCGCAGCCCCACCCACCTCACAGGGTGTCTGTTGTGGGGAGGGGAAGGGAAAGGGGTTTGTAAGCCACTCTGAGACACCTTTGGGTAGTGAAGGGCGGGGTATAAATCCAATCTCTTCTTCTTCTTCCTCTTCCACTTGCACCTGGCTGGATGGCCTTGGTCAAGCCGTAGTTCTGATAAGAGCTGTCCTTGAAAAAGAGCAGTTTCTGTCAAGAGCTCTCTCAGCCCCACCTACCTCACAGGGTGTCTGTTGTGGGGAGGGGAAGGGAAAGGAGTTTGTGGGGAGGGGAAGGGAAAGGAGACCCCTTTGGGTAGTGAAGGGCGGGGTATAAATCCAATCTCCTCCTCCTCCTCCTCCCTCTCCTGCTGATGTGGGCAGGACTTTTGCAAAATATGCGCCTTCCTATCCACACAGCACTCAAACATGCTTTAACTGTGATCAAACTGTACCAAACAGACACGAAGCGGCCTTATACTGAATCAGGCCATGGTCCATCCAGGTCAGTCTGGTCTCATTCCGACTGGCCGTGGTTCTCCAGGGTCTCAGGCAGAGGTCTTTCACATCACTTCCTGCCTGGTCCTTTTTAAGTGGATGGGGACATCGCAGCAAAGTGGGAGAGACCACTGAAGTGAGTAATCACAGGTGATGTCGTGATGTTTTCCACATGTGGCACGTTGTGTGGTTTCCGTGTTGCTGTGGCTGCTTCCTATGCAACACAGTGGCAACCAGGCTTACAAACAGCAGGTGTCCTCATAGTTTTCCTGCCCCAGCCCCTTGGCGGCCCCCACCCACAGACCGCCGGGGCTTTTTTTTAAATTGGCAGTTCAGTATCTTTACATGGTTTTAATGATGTAACAGTCTGTGTATCGGGTTCTCTGAATTCCCAGCGTTCATTCTAAGAAGTCTCTAGCCCCTTTCATTACAGAGATATGCCTTTCCCCTTATATCTCCACATTGAAAGGGGCTACAGACGTACTTTTAAAAACGAAAGCTGAGACTGCAGAGAGCTTGATACACAGATTGTTATATCATTATAACAGTATTCAGTTGCTGATATAGAAAAATTAAAAAGCCCCCCAGTGGCAGTGAAAGGACATGGCCACTGAACAAGGGAAAGGGAAAGTGCTGCCGTATGGGTGGGAATTTTCCCTCCCACCCACCCACCAATCATACAGATTATGCTGTGATCTTTCCCAACACTTCACAGCAAAATAGGTCTGGGAGAGATAGAAAAGTGGGGAAAACAGCATGAGGTACACAGAAGAGGAGGAGGAGGAGATTGGATTTATACCCCCGCCCTTCACTACCCAAAGGAGTCTCAGAGCGGCTCACAAACTCCTTTCCCTTCCCCTCCCCACAACAGACACCCTGGGAGGTAAAAGAAGAAGAAGAAGAGATTGGATTTATACCCCGCCCTTCACTACCCAAAGGTGTCTCAGAGCGGCTTACAATCTCCTTTCCCTTCCCCTCCCCACAACAGACCCCCTGTGAGGTAGGTGGGGCTGAGAGAGCTCTTGACAGAAACTGCTCTTTTTCAAGAACAGCTCTGACAGAACCATGGCTTGCCCAAGGTCATCCAGCCGGTGTAAGTGGAGGAGTGGGGAATCAAACCCGGTTCTCCCAGATTAGAGTCCGCGCACTTAACCACAACAACAAACTGGCTACACCAGAGAAGCACCAAGATTATAGGTTGGGGGGCACTTACTGGCAAGGCAAATATAACCCATGTGGAATCAGCCTAAAATTGTTAGTTTTGTTTTTAGCCCTTGGAAAAGACTGATTTTGCCCTGAAGGAGTCCTTTAACAAGTCTTTGGAAATCTGATGAGGGAGCATGCCTAGGCAGGTCTACTCAGAAGTAAACCCCATTCTAGTCACTGGATCTTACTCCTGGGAAAGTGTTCTTTAGCTTGCAACCTCATAGTGTTTCCAGCACTGCAACTTCCAATAGGCGAGGGGAGAAGTTTTCAAGTATGAAACAAACCTGTTGGGAGCCCCAGAGGGGGTAGGAAGGTAGGTGGGAGGCAGGAGGCAGTGTACAAAAGCTGTAATTGGGAAGAGGACTGAGCACCGGCATGCTTCCTCCTCCTCTTTGTATCTGGGCCAACCCAAAGACGAAACTGTTGAAAAGAAAAGAGCCGGCTTGCATTTGGCACACCGGTGTGCGATTTTGAGTAGGTTCCAATTTATGTCTTAATGTCTATCATTATGCACTTGAGACTCTCTCACCTCTTAAAAATGGTTTTTCTTCTTGGTTTTACTCCAGAGCAGTCCCACAAGTCTTTTGCACCCACATGAGTGCTCTATATGACAATAAAGTATATTACTATTACTATTATTTCTTTCCGTTCCACCTAGGAAGCATTGCACTAGGGCATAAATGCTGCAGAAAGCTGGATGCCCAGCACCAAATATTTAGGAAGTTGTGCTCCACCTTGGCTTCCTTACTGCACTGCTGGTTTTGGAAGCATCTTCAAGACAGCATCCTCTATTCATCCTTCTTCCATGTTTCCCCCTGCTTTGCTGCAGTCTTTTCCAAGCCTGATTTGGCACAATCTTTTTGGAAGGATCTCAGTGAAAAGTGCTTCTGGACAGCTATCCACATCAATCACATCTTCTTACCTTAGATTCCACCATCTCCTCCTGGCTTTTTAAAGAAATGGTAGTAGCTATAGCATTATACCATGATAGTGATCTATTGCAACAGTGTACTAGCTCACAGCTTGCTTTAAAAAAAAAAAGAAGTCACTAGCACTTTTTGTTGCAGAGTTATAAGGAGGAAAGGTACCAGCTGCATGTTTCTCCCTATAACTCTGCAACAAAAAGGGGGCTAGATACTTTTAAAAAATGAAAACTGGGGATTAGTACAGTGTTGCAATAGATTGTTATAATGCTGTAGCAATGTAGCTATTATTGAAGAAGAGAAGAAGAAGAGATTGGATTTATACCCCACCCTTCGCTCAGAGTCTCAGAGCGGCTTACAAACTCCTTTCCCTTCCCCTCCCCACAACAGACACCCTGTGAGGTAGGCGGGGCTGAGAGAGCTCTTGACAGAACTGTCCTTGAGAGAACAGCTCTGACAGAACTATGGCTTGCCCAGGGTCATCCAGCAGCTGCAAGTGGAGGAGTGGGGAATCAAGAGTGGTTCCCCCAGATTAGAGTCCGTGCACTTAACCATTACACAAAGAATTATCTCCATCAAGAAGCAGTCCAGGTAGTCCTAAATTTGTGATTTCTCCAGTTCTACATTGGGAAGACTGCAGAATTTTACAGTGGATGGTGGGAGGAGAAAACACAGACACTTCCTTAGTGGCTCCATGCAAGCGAGTAATAAATAGCCTCATCTAAAATGCAGAATCCAGTCCTCAGTTAGACCCAGGCTGTGTGTATTCTGTGCAAGCTCCCCTGACCACGTTAATGCCTTACCCTAAGAAAGTACTCAGCATGTGGCCGAAACGCATTCAGTATCTGTGTTTAAAAGTTTGCATAACGCGTCTGATGACACTTCGGAGGTTTGTGCTGTTTGCAGATGTTCCCACAAACCATCAAACCCCGCTTGTGATATCTGAATACAAACCAGGGTTTGCTGGTTAGTACTAACCTGGGAATCTTCGACGTGGTCTCTGTGCTTCACACCCATGGGATCTAGTGCACACGTGCTGGATCGATCGGTGCTGTAGCAAGCTCTTTTAACGGATTTTTGCGCCCAGTCCCCCGGGCATGTGCAGGAACCCCACCGCGCATGCCCAGAGGGGTGGGCACGGACATCCCGCCAGTTCCTTTCTTACTGCCGCGTTGAGTAGACCTCTTTTCGTCGGTCAGATCAGTTCGCTGTTAGCTTTCGCCTCACAGCTCTTAGGAATTATCTGACTACACTGATACTTTATTAGATAATGGCGGGGGGGGGGGGGGAGACACACACTAAGATGAGGTTCTTGTGAATCCCAAATATTGTGCCTTGGTAGCATGCAAATGCATGAAAATAAAGTTGTGTGCTTACTTGTCATGTCGACATCCCTCCTCTGCTCTGCCTGCCTTTGAGAGAAGTCCTGCTGGAGACAGTCCTTAAGCTGAAGGTAGTCCTTTTTCTTGCCACAGCTATCCACAGTTTGAAGCTGAGCCGCACCCACGTGGACTGGCACAGCCTGGATGAAGTCTATCTTTACAGCGATGCAACAACTTCAAAAATTGCAAGGACGGTTACTCAGAAGCTGGGGTTTTCCAAAGGTAAGCCTGTTTGAGTGGCATTTATTGATGTTCCTGGTAGTCCACCTTTCTCGCCGGGACGCAGGTCAGGTTACACTTAGTGAGCCAGTACAGTCAACAAAATGGGACGTTCAGTAACCAGTGCACCAGGGTTTTAGAAGTCTGGAACCACCAGAAAGGACTGAAGCAGAGCAGAAGTATTCACATGACACATTAAGCCAGGGGTGTCAAACATGCGGCCCAGGGGCCAGATCAGGCCCGCAGTGGAACTGGCTGTCTTCTGCTTCTTCTTCCAGTTCCGCTGCTGCTGCATCATCATAGGTTTGCAGCTTACATATACACACCTGAACAGCATACTCAGGATTGCAACAGCACAGACATTTTGATGCAATAATGCAGAGCAAGAGGTGTCAGTTATCAGACACTGTTAAATAAAATATTGCAAGAGTGCTAATGTTCTGAGCATGTTTTAATTTAATTTAATTTTAAAAACCTTTTGTGATAGTGTCCTTTATAAAGTTTATAAATTGGGATTACTGCCCATCCTTGGTGATTTATATATAGGATAACATCAGAGCACCTTAAATATTGTATATGGGATTTATTGTGGATGTTTAACGCTGTTTTATTGTATTTTACCTATTTAACCTGGCACTAGCCGTATGTTAGCTGCCCTGAGCCGTTTGGATGGGCGGGATATAAATCCAAAAATAAATAAAATAAATAACCTCTGCTACCTGGCGTTACATTTTATGACACACATGGCCCGGCCCAACAAGGTCTCATTTATGTGAGATCCGGCCCTCATAACAAATGAGTTTGACACCCCCTGCATTAAGCCATACAAAAACTACATATATAGGAGCCTACTTATAATAAGCAAAAAACAGCAGTATAGACCACAGTCCCTAACCCTTTTGTACAGTGCAACCCTGTCACCTGCGGAGAAAAGCCACCTTGAATAGTTCAGTTTTGTATACTTTGCAGAAAGCCGGGAGAGGGGGAGCTTTTAATGGATGCTGGCACTCCTCTTTCCGTTCAAGTTGAATGGAACGCAGAGAAACTCATGTTAACCTAGAACTTGGGAGACTGAAATAGTTTTTCATTATTCTTATGTAAGGATGACTGGATGGCCCAGACTAGCCCAATCTCGGCTGCTGAGCAGGGTCAGTGGTTCGTACTTGGATGGGAGACCACCCGGGAAGTCCAGGGTTGCTACGCAGAGGCAGGCAGTGGCGAACCCCCTCTGAATGTCTCTTGCCTTGGAAATCCAATGAGGGGTTCCCACAATTTGGCTGAGACTTGGCAGAACAGAAGACTGTTACAATGGTTCCCCACTCTAAAAATGGGCGTCGGCCTCTGTCAACAAATCACAGTAGTTTAGAGGATCTGTGTGTCTTCACAGCAGGGGTTCTCCAAGTCTAGGAAAACAGCTAAGCTTGCCTAATGTGGGATAAACAGCCAGAGAGCTCAGTTTGCTGACTTTGCCTCTGTCTTGTGTCAAGGAATAGGGAAGGCTGCATTCCACAGACCGCAGCAATTTTAAGAGAACAAAGAGCTTTGGAGGAAGAATGGCTGTTGAATTCCTGATATTAAGTTAACGAACAGAGGCGCAAACATTTCCAGTGGGCTCTAAACCTTCTAGTGGGCAGGCAGGCAAAACTCAAGCTTCTCACGCCAGCTATTCATGCCTCCCTTGGGAAGACCTGCTTAACACTTGATTTAGGCAGAGGATGTAGTGATGGCCACAGGCATAGCCGGCTTTAAAAGGAGAGTCAACAGATTCATGGATGATAGGTCTGAGAGTGGCTACCAGCGATGGTAACTAAAGGGAACCTCCACATTCACAGGCAGTCAACCTTGAAATGCTAGCACCAGGAGGCAACATCAGGGAAAGGCCTCAGCCTCTATGTCCTGTTGCTGGACATCCAGAAGAACTGATTGGCTACTGTGTGAGACAGGATGCTGGACTAGGTGGATCACTGGTCTGATCCAGCAAGGCTCTTTTATGTTCTTATAAAGTGCTATGCACAGTGTATGGCACGAATTTCACACATACAGTTTGCAAGTATGTGTTTGGAAGACGCACAGCAACCATTTGCATGGAGGCACGAAAATTCTGACCCATTTGTAACAGGAGGTTGTACTCATCTGTAACCTTTTTGAAGTTTAACTACATATAAATGGCTGTAAAGGGCCCAAATTGTAGAATTAGACTCACACCCTTGCAAATAAGTCCACAGTGTTTACAAGGCCACAGAAATCTTCAGGCCCCTTTCCCACTTGTCCGTCTGTCGTTGGTTTGCCATCGATGTCTTATGAGAATGGAGTTGCCAAGAGGGAGTGCGTTGGTGTGCACTCTCCCAGTTTACAGACGCTTCTCTGCCTCCTAACTTGGTGGAGATTTCTCTCTTTTTTAACTATATTTTATTCAATTTTCAATTATCCATTTACAATAAATAATATCAACGTTATATAGGATAAATATACATCAACTTGATCACTTACAAGGGAAACATTCTAATCACAGATAAAAATACATCAGCTTAACCGTTCAAAAGAGAAAAGTCTATCCTTCATAAACTTAGTATTAACACAGTGTCGACATTTACCGCGGATGAAGATTGTCTAGTACATCTGGTATTATCTCCCGAGAAACTAGGTAGGCTAAAATAGGTAGCCATATACTGGTAAGTTCACGATACCGGCCACTAGTTTTGGTTGGTCTCAATATGTCTGATACTTTTCCCCATTATGTATAAAGAGGGAGCACACTGGTGCACATTCTCCCAGTTTGCAGAAGCTTCTTTGCCTCCTAACTTGGTGGAGGTTTCGTAACCACAGCTGCCCGGGCGAGGGGGGGGGGGTTTGTTCGCAGGCGGGAACTAAACGGCTGGGGGTTGCTCTTCTGCAGCTTCGAGCAGCGGGACCAGACTCCATCGAGGCTACGTGGAAGAGGCCACGTTGGAAGACAAGCCGTCGCCCACCACTCACATTGTTTTTGTCGTGCACGGCATCGGACAGAAGATGGACCAAGGGAGGATCATAAAAAATACTGCCATGTGAGTCTTCCTGTTCTGCTCTCCTGCTGCTGTTGTCATCATCATCATTATTATTCTTTTTCATTTATACTGTGCTTTTCTCTCTCATGTGGTGGCTCAAGTGGTTAAGACGCTGAACTGCAGGCTGTGGAAGGTCGGTAGTTCAGCAGTTCGAGACCCAAGTGTGCCGCATGACGGAGTGAGCTCCCGTCTCTAGTTCCAGCTCCTGCCAACCTAGCAGTTCGAAAGCAAGAAATTGCAAGTAGATAAATAGGTACCACTTCGGTGGGAAGGGAACAGCGTTCCGTGCGCCTCGGCATTTAGTCATGCCGGCCACATGACCACGGAAACGTCTTCAGACAGTGCTGGCTCTTCGGCTTTGAAACGGAGATGAGCACCGCGACCCTAGAGTCGGACTTGACTGGCTTTCGAGCAAGGGAGACCTTTACCTTTACTTTTACCTTTGGGACTCAGGGCGGATTACAAGTATGGTGAGAAATTTTGATAAGCAAAAGTGATCACACAGTATAGTGTACATAAACCAAAAAAAGGCGCTGTGTAAATAGCGCAGTCCGGGGCACTATACTGAAGTGCAAAGGAGAAAAGAATATTTATACAAAGCAAAATGTGTACAAACAGCTACAATATTGGTGTATTTCCGCTTTATGTTGTATTTATTTTATAATTTCAATTTATAGCCCACCCTTCCCTGAATTAACAGATGAACAAATGGACGGCTATGCTCCCTTTTCCTGTTACCCGGAAACCTGTCCCCTGAGGTGGGCTGCTTCGCCCGGCACGCTGATAAAATCAGTGCAAAAAATCTTAGGGGCTGCAATGAAATTTCTAGGTGCCGTGGTCACTTGGCGCCTCAGATTTGTCGAGCCCGGACCGACGCCCTGAACGGAACCCCGACGCAAATCAGAAGCCCGTGCTGTTGTGTCATGTGCTCAGTTCCGCTTCTTATTTATTTATTATTTATTTTTGGGACTTATACCCCGCCCTATCCAAGCGGCTCAGGGAGCAAAGCGCCTGTAGTATTCTATCTATACCAGCTGAAGCGTCAGTGTTGTCTTTGTGTGTGCTTGCAGTTAATACGTAATTTCACATTTTTCTAGGATGCGGGATACTGCAAGGAAGATAGAGGACAAGTATTTTAGCAACCATGCCACACATGTTGAGTTCCTGCCTGTTGAGTGGAGGTCAAAGCTTACCCTTGATGGAGGTAATTCTGCCTGCTGTTGTGGGGGGGAGGCTTTCATTAGTGGTGCTCAGACTTCGTGCTCGCAGGACGCTGTTTCCTTTTCAACTTGTCCTCCCAGAAATCTCTGGCTGTCTCTCATCTTGCATCTTGCAAAGGATTTTGGCATTCGTACTGGATGGGGGACACACTCCTGGGTAGCAGTGTGTGTGAACAAGATCTTGGAGTACGGATGGATTCTAAGCTAATGTGATGCAGTGTGATGCAGCGGCAAAAAAGGCTAATGTGATTTTAGGGTGTTATCAACAGGCACAACACCAGATCACAAGATGTCATAGTCCCACTGTACACTTCATTGGTCAAGCCACAGCTGGAGTACTGTGTGCAGTTTTGGAGGTCTCACTTCAAAGGCAGGCACAGAAGAGAGTGACAAGAATGATCAGAGGCCTGGAGACCAAGCCCTACAAGGGAAAGCTGAGGGACTTGGGAATGCTCAGTCTAGACAAGAGGAGGTTGAGGGTGAACAGGATCGTTCTCGTGAAGTATATGAAAGGAGGGCAGGGAACTGTTCCTGCTGGCAGCAGAGGATAGGACTCGCAATAATAAGTTTAGATTATTGGCGAAAAGGTACAGGCTGGAATGTTAGGAACTTTTTTTTACAGTCAGTAAGAGTAGTTCAGCAGTGGAGTGGGCTATCTAGGGAGGAGCTGAGCTCCCCTGAAGCAACAGCTGGAGAAACACTCGTCAGGGATGCTCTAGGCCAATCTGCATTGAGCAGATTGGACTAGATGGCCTCTGTGGCCCCCTCCAACTCTGTGATTCATGTCAGGTACTGGAAAGACTTGTTAGCCCTACGCATTCATCCCGCCTCCCAACAGCCGTGCCCTAAAGGAAAGAGAAAGAGTGCTGAAGTCCTCTTTTCCGGGAAAGTTGCCTGTCGTTGGTGAACCCTTGAGAACCTTCTTTCTTCCAGGGAACACCTAGGCTTATTTTGAAAGCAGTTGTACTGTGGAAAGACCCGATACTTATCTCGAATTTGCTTCTTTTCTTTTCTTTTCTTTTAAATCTCAGCACTCCTGGAAGGAATACTTCACTCATAGATTGAATGATCCTATAAATGTATACCCATATATTCCTGAATTGTTTGATCTAGGGATGTGCATTCGGTTCGTCTGAACCGAATGCACCCCCGAAAATGGCCCATTCGGGCCCCTTTCGGGCTGCTGCAGACTGATTCAGATTCTCTGGTCTGAATCGGCTTGCCGCTGAATTTCGGCGGCAATTCGGCCCCATTATATCTTATGGGCCATTGAAGTCAATGGCGAAAACGCAGGGTATATTCTGGGGGCTGGAGGGGAAGGGGTTTGAGGGAGAGGCCCCAAACTTGCAGGGTAGCTGCTGGGGCCTCTCCCCAAGATACCCACCATGTTTCAAGAACATTGGACCAGGGGGTCCAATTCTACGGGCCCCCAAACTGGTTGCCCCATCCCCTCCATTGTTCTCTATGGTGGGAAAAACGTAACTTTGGAGGGGATGGGGGCAACCTGTTTGAGTGCCCGTAGAATTGTACCCCCTGGTCCAATGTTCTTCAAACTTGGTGGGTATCATGGGGAGAGGCTCCTGCAGCTACCCTGCGAGTTTGGAGCCTCTCCCTCAAACCCCCTCCCCTCCAGCCCCCAGAAGATACCTTATGTTTTTGCCATTGACTTCAATGGCCCATAGGATATAATGGGACTGAAACTGACATGTGGAAGTCTTTCTCCCGGCCAAAATGGATTCTGCCAGATTCAGCTGAATCTGAATTGGGCCAAAAAAATTTTTTTGCACACCCCTAGTTTGATCTGAAGCCACCTGTACATTTTCCCATACTTAGCAAACCACACTTGGGTCTGCTCTCTTTCCTCAGACACCGTTGACTCTATTACTCCAGATAAAGTCCGTGGCTTAAGGGATATGCTCAACAGCAGTGCGATGGACATAATGTACTACACAAGTCCCCTCTACAGAGACGAAGTAAGTGTGCGTCTTCAAGCGCCTCATTCAGAGCATGCCCAGATAAATGGGTGCAGCAAAACTGGGCTCTCAGATTCGAACACGCTTCAGATTCTCCATCTGCAAAAGGGGAACCCAAGCCTTATGGGTCTCCTTTGCCTGGGGACTCTCTCTTTGGCTGGGAGGGTGGGGTAGAAATCTAATAAATCAATCAAATCACTTTGAGATCAGAAATCAGGGCATGTGATCTGTACCCCTCCTCTTTGCATTCTGTTTTAAGGGGGAACAGCCAAGAGGTAGCAAAGTGGTCGCCAGTGAGAGTTTTCCCAAATTCTCCCTTTATTAAAAAAAAAAAAAAAAAAAAAAGACAATAAGGACATTTAGTGTGATACAGCGGCAAAAAAGGCTAATGTGATTTGAGGGTGTTATCAACAGGCATAAAACCAAATCACAAGATGTCATAGTCCCACTGTACACGACATTGGTCTTTTTTCGGCAGTCCTCTACTGAAGCGGCTTACACCAGTAAAGGGACAATGAAGAGCTAGTTTTGTTGGCAAAGTTAAGTCCACTTAGCACCTGATGTCATAGTCCTGTAGGTGATGACGAACATTGGGGGATGAGTGTGAGTTGCTCGCCCCAGATCACCCCAGGGAGCTTTACCGCAGGGCAGGGATTTGAACTCGAGTGATGACTCCTCTTCTGTCTCACTCACTTCCTTCAGGAAGCTGAGTGGCATCGGTAGGGCATCCAAGCTGGGCACTGAGCGGGCTGAAAGTGGGTGGCCCTCCAGTGCCTTCAGGTAACATGTACCATCAGGAATTTGACACAATGTGTGATTCGCAAGCATGGCTGCTTCAACAGTTTGTTTGTTCAAAGTGTCTGTCCTGCGCATCGCCTGAATGGCAAAATCTGAACGCAGGGCTGTCTCATTCAAGGCAGGCTGTCAAATGAGCCATCACAGTCCCGTTCATACAGCAGTTCCTCACAGAAATTGAAATTAAGGGTGACTGATTAATACGTGGAATTCACTGCCACAGGAGGTGGTGGAGGCTACCAAGCATGGACGGCTTCAAGAGGGAATTGGATAAACATATGGAGCAGAAGTCCATCGGTGGCTATTAGCCACAAGATACAGATAGGAACTCTCAGTCTGGGGCAAGGGATGCTCTGTATTCTTGGTGCTTGGGGGGGGGGGGCAACAGTGGGAGGGATCCTAGTGTCCTGGCCCCACTGCTGGACCTCCTGATGGCACCTGGTATTTTTGGTCATTGTGTGACACAGAGTGTTGGACTGGATGGGCTATTGGCCTGATCCAACATTGGCTTCTCTTACGTTCTTATGTCTGGGGCAAGTGATGCTCTGTATTCTTGGTGCTTGGCGGGGGGGCAACAGTGGGAGGGCTTCTAGATCTTCGACGTGGTTTCTGTGCTTCACACCCATGGGATCTAGTGTACACGAGCTGGATCGATCGACATTGTAGCAAGCTCTTTTAACGGATTTTCGCGCCCAGACCTCCGGCATGTGCAGGCACCCCACCGTGTATGCCCAGAGGGGAGGGCGCGGACATCCCACCAGTTCCTTTCTTACTGCCGCGTTGGAAATACCTTTTTCTCGTCGGTCTGATTGGTTCGCTTTTTTGGCTTTTGCCTCACGGCTCTTCGGATTTTTCCTCACTTTATCCTTTTTTCTTCAGTGTTCCTTTGTTCTTTAAAAAACTTTTTTAAAACTTTATTTTACAACTGAGGGGGAAGTTGCCGGTTTACCTCAGTGTGGCCTTCGGGCTACCCCCCCCCTTCTTTCTTCTTCGCTGTTTATTTTTATGGAGAAGAAGTGGGGCTTTTTTAACCGGTGCAAGGGTTACGGCAGTAAAGTTGCTCCACCTGGCCGTCACACCCTGTGTATTTTTTGTCTGGGAGTGTCTCATCAACCTGAGTCCTGTCGCCACTGCGCTCGCTTTTCCAACCAGACACGAAAAAATAGAGCTGTGTGCCTTAAAGTGGCGCTCCTTGAGTTGGCGTTGCATCCTCCCACAATGATGGACTCCGAGAGGCCTTCGACATCGACGGCTCCGGCATCGAGGCCCTCTTCCAATACCGCTCTACCAAAGTCGAAACCACCGGCATCGAAGGCGCAATCCTCAACTTCCACGCCGGTGAAAAAGAAGGCCAAACCAAGTAAGGAGCACAAGTCCGCAAAGAAGGGCTCCTCTAAGTCCCTTAAGGCGGCAAAGAAGGGGAAGGTAGTGGTGTCTGCACTGGGTGATGCCCCTAAAGTGCCTCCCGCTCCAACGGCAGTATCGATACCGGAGGCCCAAGCCCCTCCACTGATACCGACCGTTCAATTATTGGACTCCCCTATACACCAATTGGAGCGTCCTTACTCTGACATCGAGACGGTAGAGCTCCTAAGTCATCAGATGGATGCAGAGCCTTCTCCCTCCCCGTCGTCGACATCGACGGTATTGGAGGCTCCCGAAACCGATTCCCGTCGGGATCGACATACTTTTAACAGCACGCAGCGTCACCCTCCACGTTTGCATGTTCAATCTGTCGATATCGACGACCGGGATTACAGAGACTACTCTCAAAGGCAGCCTACCGCCTTGTCTCCGAGACGTCCACGATCCAGAAGTTGATCCCCCCGAGTCTTTCTACCCCCCCCACCTCTGTCTTGGGATCAACGACAGCTTAGGTATCTTTATGGGGGTTATCCACCATTCATGCCATGGCTGACTCCGGCGGGATATTCCGACTGGGATTGTTATTCGTCCCACTCTGCCCACAGATCACGGTCGCCCTACAGGTCAAGACCTTCGGCATCTTTGTCGCGTCCTCCTGCCGACGACCCTTCCCACCACGATTCGGAACCTAGTCATCCGTCAAATCCCCAAGTCGTACCACCTAAACCCTTAACGAGTCAAACTGAGGTCACTCCGGTCCAAATACCACACCAAGATTCCTCTGACTCTGTGGAAGAGGATTCGGATACCGACGCCTCCGAGGTTCATACGTCTCCTGACCATAAGTCTCCTGATCAGGCTGTCGCTGATGATCTACCCATTTCCCCATCTGACAATCTCACGTCATATACAGATCTCGTCAAAAGAATGGCCCATTCTTTAGGCCTATCAATCGTCCCAATGACACGCTCAAGTGTCTGATGCAGTTTTTGATATCGTACAGCTTGATACCTCTGCCACTTTGGCGTTACCGATGTCTACGGTCCTTCTACAAGCCACTAAGGCACCATGGGAGAAGCCTTCGTCAGCCTCAGTGTCAACTAGACGCCCGGATCACATGTACAGAGTCCAGGAAACTGGAGCTGAATTTTTATTCTCCCAACCTCAACCAAATTCTATGGTTGTAACCTCCTCCTCCAAATCTAAAAGAACTCTGCGCCTTCTGACAGGGAAAGTAAGAATTTGGATGCCTTTGGCAGACGCTTCTACTCTACAGGAGCGTTGGGAGTGAAAACCACTAACTACCTAGCCTGCATGAGCAGATATCAATACACTGAAATCCTAACTCACCTTCCTGAAGATAAACTACAGGCAGCCAGAGTTATTCAAAGGGAAGGCATGGTGTTGGCAAAACAGCAGATCAACACTTCAAAACATGCCCTAGACGCCTCCTCAAGAACGATGGCCTCTGCAATAGCTTTGAGGAGACATTTCTGGCTCCGTAATACCAGTCTACCTATAGATACTAGGTCTTATGTCGAAGACCTTTCATTTGATGGCCTCGGTCTCTTTAACAGCACTACCGATTCCATACTCCAGGATATGGATAAGAGTATAAAGGCTTCTCGGGCTCTGGGAGTGTCATCCTCTATGAGACCACAATACCATCCTCGCATCTGGTCCAGGCCCTGGCAAAGGCGTACCCCAAGTCATCAGTCTCCTGACAGACAATGGAGACCGCAGACTTCTTCAGGAGGTCAAAAACCCACCTTCCAAAAACCACGGTTTGGATCTGGGCAAAATTCTTCTCTCACCAAACAGGCAAAACCCTCCAAACAGGGTTTTTGACTTCCCTCTCACCAAGTCAGTGCAAACCCATCTATCACCCTTCCTTCATACCTGGCGTCATATCACCTCAGACGAATGGGTACTGTCCATCTTGACCCGAGGCTACCGTATCCAATTCCACTAGAACCCCATTACTCCTGTCCTTGTCTCCACACCCCCTTCCCCACCTCTCCTGGAAGAGGTTTCTGTCCTTCTGCACAAGGGAGCCATCGAGCCGGTACCACCTCATTTGCAGAGGAAAGGATTCTATTCCCGCTATTTTACAGTTCCAAAGCGGGATGGAGGCGTTCGACCCATATTAGATCTAAGGGCACTGAACTGTTTTGTGACCTACCACCGTTTCCGCATGGTGTCCCTGCAACAGATTATGCCGCTCCTCCAAAAACATGTATGCCGCCCTGGGCCGTATGGGTAGGGCGGGATATAAATCCCAAAATAAATAAATAAATAAATGTCTGGATGGCCACCCTTGACCTCCAAGACGCGTACTTCCACGTCACCATCCCTCCCTCCCACTGCCAATACCTACGCTTCGCAATTGGTCAACAGCATTACCAATATGCAGCCCTGCCATTTGGCCTGTCAAGCGCCCTGAGGGTCTTTACAAAGACTATGATTGTCGTTGCAGCCTTTCTCCGTCTCAGGGGTATTTCCATCTACCCCTATATCGACAATTGGCTTGGTAGCGCCTTCAAAGAACACCCTGGTCTCAAACATCATCGAGACGTTGGCACTATTAGAAAATTTAGGCCTCCAGGTCAATCACGAAAAGTCTCATTTGCGTCCAGTCCAAAGAATACAGTACATCAGTGCTTTACTGGATTCCAAGACATGCATGGCTTACCTTCCACAAGACAGAGCGGCAGACATCATTTCCCTAACCAATGTCGTCCTTACCCAGCTTTCAGTCACGGCTTTCCAAATTCAGAGGCTTCTCGGCCTCATGGCCACAACTACATTGGTCCTCGTCTTTGCCAGACTAAAGATGCGTCGTCTACAACTGTGGTTTATCCACAAGTATGTCCCAACGAAAAATGCACATACCGTTCTCCTAACCCCTCCTCCCAACATACGAGACTCGTTCCTTTGGTGGACTGTCCCTTCCAATCTCTTCCAGGGAGCACCTTTCCATCCTCCATCACCCCAAATCATCCTGACCACAGATGCTTCCCTGTCGGGCTGGGGTGCTCACATGATAGGCATGTGTGTGGGAGACAAGTGGAACACCCACGAACAAGGTCGACACATAAACTTCCTAGAACTGCTTGCAATACAGTTCGCTGTCAAGAGTTTCTTACCACTGATCACGGACAACACCACTGCACTCGCTTATATCAACAAGCAAGGAGGCACGGTCTCTCTATGTCTCTGCAACCTTGCCATCCAGTTATGGGACTTTTGCATTACCCACAACATCTTCTTGATAGCCACGCACATCCCAGGACACATGAATGTGCAGGCAGACCATCTAAGTCGAGCAGGACTCAGTCTCCACAAGTGGGAAATGAACCCAACCTACCTCCTCCCACTCTTCCGCAGATGGGGAGCTCCCCAAGTCGATGTTTTTGCCACCAGAGCCAACAAAAAATGTCCTCTGTTTTGCAGCCGAGGAGGCAGGGACTCACATTCTCTAGGAGACGGTCTCCTTTATCCTTGGTCCAAGAACCTCCTTTACCTGTTTCCTCCCTTACCCATGCTTCTGAGACTGGTCTGCAAAATCGTCAGACGGCGCGAACTGCATATTGATAACCCCATGGTGGCCAAGGCAACCATGGTTCTCAACTGTCCTCAAATTGTCAACAGGGCTATACCACCAGTTCCCTCTGGCACAGGACCTCCTCTTCCTGTCCAACTCCCCTCTCCTACATCACGATGTACCGCACTTGAAATTGACAGCATGGAGAATAACGTCAACGATTTTTCCATCCGCGTAGCGAACGTTCTACTGAACGCCAGAAAACCTACTACACGAAGGTCCTACCATTATAAATGGCAAAGATTCTGTTCTTCCCTTGGTGATGATGCCCCTCAAGCCACCTCCGCAAGGTCTTAAGAAAGTTTTCCAATTCCTCCTATCCCTCGCTGACTTGGGACTTTCCCACTTATCGTTACGTGTTTATTTGGCCGCCCTTTCGGCCTACCATGTTCAAGTTGACGGATGCACACTGTTTTCCCATCCGCTTTCAAAACATTTTTTAAAAGGTTTATTGCATCTCTACCCTCCTGTCAAAACTCCTGTTGTTCCCTGGGACCTTCCTCTCGTTCTTCGCCAGCTCACGAGGAAACCCTTTGAACCACTCGCAACTTGCGATATGAAATGTCTGTCGTGGAAGACGGCCTTTCTGGTTGCTGTCACCTCTGCAAGACGAGTTGGAGAAATACTGGCTTTCAGGCATGACACGCCATACTTGTCCTTTTTGCCAGACGGCATCCGCCTCGTACCTGACATCTCGTTCCTGCCAAAGGTAGTGTCAGAATTCCACCCACAGGCAGAGGTCTTCCTCCTGGATTTCTTCCCGGCTCCGACATCCTCAGAGGACAGACTGTTACACACCTTAGATGTGAAGCGTGCGCTCCTGTTCTACCTGAACAGAACCCGCCCAGCGAGACATGACTCCCAACTATTTGTCTCGTATGCATCATCATCGCTGGGGACTCGCATCACGGCTCAGCGCCTCTCAAGGTGGATTGCGGGTCTCATCCGCCTCTGTTACCTGATTGCCAAACAGCCATTGCCCGGCCCTATCAGGGCTCATTCAACTCGAGCTATTGCAGATTCCACTGCCTTCCTCCAGGGAGTGCCCCTGACGGACATTTGCAAAGCCGCTACGTGGGCCATGCCTAGCACCTTTATTAGGCACTACGCCCTAGACGTCCGCAAAAACTCTAATACCAACATGGGATGTCACATTCTATCTTTGGCTACGCAGTAAAGGACCTGCCAGCACCCTCCTCCAGGTAGGCCACTGCTTGCTAATCTCCCATGGGTGTGAAGCACAGAGACCACGTCGAAGATAAACAGGTTGCTTACCTGTAACTGGTGATCTTTGAGTGGTCATCTGTGCATTCACACCACCCGCCCTCCTTCCCCGCTGCTGTCAGCTTCTACATTTTCAATAGGGGTTGATTTGCGGCGGTTTGAAGGAACTGGCGGGATGTCCGCGCCCTCCCTTCTGGGCATGCGTGGTGGGGTTCCTGCGCATGCCCGAGGTCTGGGCGCGAAAATCCGTTAAAAGAGCTTGCTACAATGCCGATCGATCCAGCGCGTGCGCACTAGATCCCATGGGTGTGAATGCACAGATGACCACTCGAAGATCACCAGTTACAGGTAAGCAACTGTTTTGTCCTGGCGTCACTGCTGGACCTCCTGATGGCACCTGGTATTTTTAGTCACTGTGTGACACAGTGTTGGACTGGATGGGCCATTGGCCTGATCCAACACTGAATTCTCTTAGGTTCCTATGTCTGGGGCAAGTGATGCTCTGTATTCTTATGAACCGCTTGTACACGCTTTTCTGTTCGCGGAATCCAGACTTCAGAGCCAAGGACGGGAAAGTGTCGATCGTGTCGCACTCCTTAGGATGTGTGATCACCTACGACATCATGACCGGGTGGAATCCGGTCAGGCTGTATGAACAGTTGCTCGAGAAGGAGTACGAAGACCTCGAGGACACCTGGATGAGCTACGAGGAGCAGCATTTGCTGGAGGAGTTTTACATAACCAAGCAGCGGTAAAAGGCTTTTCTTTCCCCCGGTGTTGGAGAAAATGTGGGTGTGGTGGTCTGAGCAGCTCCAGGCTGGGTGGAGTTGCTGGTAAAGCGGTTATCTGATTGTATCATCCAGTCTGGCTTGATCTCGTCTGATCCAAGGAGCTAAGCAGGGTCAGCCCTGGTTAGTCCTTGGAGGGGAGACCACCCAGGAAGCCCAGGGTTGCTACGCAGAGGCCGGCAATGGCAATACCACCTCTGGACTCCTCTTGCCTTGGAAACTTCTTGGGGCCGCCATGAGTTAGCTGCGACTTGATGGCACTTTCCACCACACCACCATCAGTGGAAAGTTCCCTGGAGAGGGTGTGGTCTGTCCTGATATTTTTTAGACTTCGGTCTTTCCCTGCACGGAAAGGGGCACTGCATCCTGCTGGCACGACATACAGTCCTTGGGTATGCTTTAGCGCACGCTGGGATTTTAGAAGGCTCCATTTTGGCGCCTTTTTTAATCGTAATCCTCTACATGTCTTGCAAATAATAAACCCTTTAATGGAATCAGTAAGTGCTAATTTATAGTGAAGTCATCAACTTATTCAAATATAAACAAAAACTGAAGTCGGCAGCAGCATTCCTTGCAGATGGCAAAGAAAAAAAAATTGTATTATAAAAGTGGATATTAATTAACGACTAAACATGTTTATACCTGGGGTCTGAGGAGCCAAAGAGTAGGCACCCGTTCACCCACGCAAGGAGGAAGTCCCAGAGAAGAAGTCCTGACTTGGGTGGCCACCAGCTGACACCAGAAGTCGGGGCGCTCCGAGCAGAGCCTCTGTTGAAGTTCTTGGGCGGGGGGTTCCCACCACGGGAGCAAGGGGATGTGGGCCGGACACTCCTCTTGTTCCGCCTCCGGTGGCATTTCAGCTAGGGCTTAACAGACCCCCAGTGCCAGTTTGCCCTGGCACCTAGTATTTCTGGCATTGATTTTGTTGTAGCCTCTCTCAGTAATCCTCAGTAGCCGTACAAAGCTCATTTATCGTTTTGCATAGAATAGGGATGTATTTCTTGCCATAGTGCTTGTCATTTTTTATTTATGAACTCTAATTTACACCATTTCGATGGTGACCGATGAATTAATTCCTTAATCCTCTGCTCTCTCTGCTGACTCCGACGTTCAGTTAAATGGTGCCTTCTAAGGAATATGATTAAATTATGAGAAATCAGAGAGATTCAATGTGGTTAAATTTAGAGGCTAGCTTTTTGTTGTGGCAGCGGCAACCAGGAGTCCCTCTGTCTGCGTAGACTGCAGTGCCTTTGTCATGGCATTCATAAACCATTGAGAAGCTGTTGAAAAAGTTAGGATTCTGTTTTGTAGCAACAGTTAGAAAATGTTGTAATTTAAATTAAAGTAGATCAACGGAGCTGGTGCAGGAACACTATCGTTATTGCCACCTATGGAGTATTGTTTAAATTTAAAATTCTCTGCTCTTGCACTTTGAATATTGTTCCAGCACTTTAGAATAACTGATTTGTTTATGGTTTTTAGTTGTTCTATGATGGATTTTAGTTGCATTTATATATGCCTTTTATGTAAGCTGCCCTGAGCCTGCATCGACAGGGAGGGCGGGGTATAAATCGGATAGATAAATAAATAAAATTAGGAAACCCTGAAAGCAGAAAAATGGATCTGGCTCCTAAACTCACAGAGAAGTAGTCAAGTCCTGGTTTAGACGCCTGGTTTAGACGCCTGGAGCTGCGGTGGCTCAAGTGGTTAAGATGCTGAACTGCAGGCTGTGGAAGGTCGGTAGTTCAGCAGTTCGAGACCCGGGGGCCGCATGACGGAGTGAGCTCCCGTCTCTAGTTCCAGCTCCTGCCAACCTAGCAGTTCGAAAGCAAGAAATTGCAAGTAGATAAATAGGTACCACTTTGGTGGGAAGGGAACAGCGTTCCGTGCGCCTTGGCGTTTAGTCATGCCGGCCACATGACCACGGAAACGTCTTCGGACAGCGCTGGCTCTTCGGCTTTGAAACGGAGCACCGCAACCCTAGAGTCGGACTCGATTGGCTTTCGAGCAGGGGAACCTTTACCTTTACCTTTTACAAATCTGTACTCCTCAGCTAAAATTTCCTGGCTGTCGTTTCTCTGCTTTTTATGCTGCTTCCCATTTTGTTCAGTTGGTTACCCTTGCTGATTTTTTCGGCTGAGGTTAATTTTGGAATTTTATTATGTCTATTAATTGATTTTAAATTTGGGGGGATCCTCATTAAATTTTAGCCACCTTGTGGACTGTACCAGTTACAAGTGGGGATATAGCTGCTTTAATAAATTCAAAATGTGGGTAGGCTAGAAAGACAGAGAAGAGGGGCTCCGAGCTGGAGTCCTCGCAGTACCTAACCCGGCTCCAACTTGCAAGCCACAGTCGAGTCATGACAGCCTCCCCCGTGAGTGGTAGAGAGAGAGAGGAGTGTGCTCCAGTCCTCGTACTTAGACCAGGAGTGGGCCAAACGTGCTTAACATAAGAGCCACGTAGAACAAACATCCGATGTTTGAGAGCTGCATGCCATATGCTTTTAACGAAAACTTTGCAAATTTGCTTTTTGTTAACATTAAATGAGGCGGCCAACAATAAAAACAAAAGGAGTAAATGTAGGGATCGATGATGATATTTATTTGTCCAATGATATTTGTAGGCGGTGGGGGGAGGAGGGGCTTTGAGAATGCCATTAAAGTTGCTCTCTTTCCCCGCTCCCCCCTGCCTCGAGCCTCCCCAGGAAGGGGAACTGTCTGGGGAAGGGAAGACCCATCGGGGAGGGGAGGCATGCCTCCCCTTCGCTTGCCCCGCTGCCCTGCCGGGAGCCACACAATAGCTGTGAAAGAGACGCATGTTGCTCCCGAGCCACAGTTTGGCCACCCCCGACTTAGACCACCCATCTCCAGAGCATTAGTTTGGTGAACGTCACAAATGCATAATTATTATATACACCACAGCTAGAAGTTCCATCGCTTCGACCACTTTCCCCCCCCACCCGCTCCTGTGCTGGAAGTGACCTAGAGAAGAAGAAGAAGAGATTGGATTTATACCCCGCCCTTCACTACCCGGAGGAGTCTCAGAGCAGCTTACAAATTCCTTCCCCTCCCCACAACAGGCACCCTGTGAGGTGGGTGGGGCTGAGAGAGCTCTGACAGAAACTGCTCTTTTTCAAGGACAGCTCTTATCAGAGCTACGGCTTGCCCAAGGTCATCCAGCAGCTGCAAGTGGAGGCGTGGGGAATCATACCCGGTTCTCCCAGATTAGAGTCCGCGCACTTAACCACTACACTATAGCCTGGGAAGAAAATGCTTAAAGCAGCAAAGCACTCCAATATAAAGCCAAGGGTGGGTTTAACTCCTCTCATCTGATCACCCCTTTCCATGCATTAAACAAAAAATAAATCAGGCCAGCTTCATATGCAAACAAAGCCCTATGGCTGCTCCCACCCCATTTCTTTTATTTATTACAATTTTTATATCCCCCCAGTCCCCTCATGTGGTGGCTCACTCATCTAGCCTGGCCCTTCAAGAATGCATCTAGTTTGGCCCCTGAATGAGCTTTTTCTGACCGAGACGTCACGCAACTGGTTTTTCCTCCCTAGATTGAAAGAAATAGAAGAGAGGTTGCATGGGCTGAAGACATCCACCATATCCAAAACGCCTGCCTTAAAATTCAAGGTAGGAATGAATATGGAAGGGTGCTCTCCCGCTGGTGGCACGCTTCCGGAGGCAGCAGGGGTTTTTTTTCTGGCTTCCACTGTTGTTCCTCCTCCCCCCAGCATTAGAGAACCTCCCAGGAGACTGAACAGAGGGGAACACAGTTGGGAACAGGAGGGTGAGCCGACTGAAGGGCGCTTCTTGCATGTCCTCAGTGTCGCTGCTGGCTGCACCGCGGCCGCATGCCCATGGCGAGGGTGTCCTCTGCATGTGCTGCCACTGCCAATGCAGAGCCGTTCACATGGGCAAGAAAGCTTCCACATGGGAGTTTTCTGCACCCTTCTCCTTCATCAGCCTTCATTTTATCTCCATTTTTCACTGTCATGCAGCTGGGGGGCTTTTTGAAGACTTTTTAAAAAAATCGGTGGCTGCTGTAATGCCATAGCAAGTGCCCCTCCTCCAGTGGCATGTTGGGGGAAATGGCGGCCACGTGGGGCTAAGGGGAAGGGAAATGGTGTCGGTAGGACCTTGGAAGATGCACAGCGTCCCCTCCAGACAGGGCGATAACTTGCTTGGACTGTGTGTCTTCCCCCAAAGATCAGAGACAAGCAGGTCAGGAAGGGGTTGCACCAGTGCTTAGTTCTCGTGACCCTTTCTCACATGCCCAGGGAAGTGCCGATCGCCACTTTGAGGACTCAGGAACCAATTTTTCTCCAGGCCGGTTTGGCCCGGGGTCCCGGAGGGGTTCCCCCCCCCCCCATCATCTGGGTGTGGAACAATGGCCACTGGGTGTGTGTGTGTGTGGGGGGGTATTTGTGAATTTTCTGCATTGTGCAGGGGGTTGGAGTAGATGACCCCAGAGACCCCTTCCAGCTTTACGATTCTGTGGTTTGGAAAGGACAGGGAAAGGAGAATGAGAGCACAGTGTCATGTGGATGCTCCCTCCCCCCCCCCCCCCCCCCCCATCACTTCAGTTTGGAAGTGAACGTGTAGAAGACATCCCTGTGGAAGTTGTCTCTGGCTGTGCCCAAGAGGAGTGTCGGGGACAGCACGGAGGCCATGGCTGTTGGCGAGAGAGCACACACACACACACACACACAAGGTCTCAGGCTCAGGCCACGGAACCCCCGAAGGGTGAAGGACCGCAGGCAGCAGGACGGGGAGAAAAACGGTCTGCTGGAGACTTTGGGGAGCGGCTGCCCAGGCTAGATGGACTAGCGCTGGGGTCACCAACGTGGTGCCCGTGGGCGCTGTGGGGCCCGCCCAGTGTTTTTAGAAAGTGGGCGGGGCACGGTGGGGCCCTTTTTTCCAGCAAGGCTTCTAATTGACTGTGCACATTAAAAAAAAAAGTTGCCTCGGCAGCAGCTGCCCCCCCAGCACAAGGATCTTCGCTGCGTGACTGAAGGGGAGCGGTGGTGGCCATCGTGTGGCTGGCTCCGCCCCCCACAATGGCCCCTGTGTGCCAGCACCCCCTCCTCCAGCCGTGTCAGGATTCCAAAGGTGTCCGCAGGCTCAAAAAAGGTCAGGGGCCCCCTGGGCTAGTGGCTTCCTCTGTTGCCGTATGCGCTCACGGTTGTTGCTTTTATACAACTTGCTTTTGCTGCTTCCTTGATGGGCTGTGACAAACTAGAAGCGGGGGGGGGGGGAGCAAGCACGGAAGCGCTTTCTTTAGTTAAGCAGCAGTTACCAGCTTCTTCACTTCCCACACAGTCATGACCAGTGTTCCCTCTAAGCTGAGTGAGTGTGAGCTAGCTCACAGTTTTTTAGCCTCCGGCTCACACGATTTTGTCTTAGGTCAAGAAGGATGTGGTTCCAGAGCAAACGAACTTACGCAGCAGCCAAATCGCTGGCTCACAACTGTAATGCCGGTAGCTCACAAAGTAGGATTTTTGCTCACAGGACTTCAGAGCTTAGAGGGAGCATCGGTCATGACTGAGCAGATTTCCAATGGGAGGGAACACCCTGCAGAGTCATACAGCTAAGGTTCGAGTCCGCCAGCACCTGAGAAGACCAAAAAAAAACCTTCAGGGGCTCCGGCAAAGGGTCCGGTGAAGGGAGTGTTGACTCCTGAGAGCGCATGCCCCGAAAACCTTGTCTGGTCTCCAAGGTGCGCTGCTGGACTCGGACTGCCATGTTTCACTGGAGACCCAACGCGGCTCCCCTCCGAGTCCTCTCTCCCTCCCCAGCCTCTCACGGAGTCCCTTTTTCAGGGTGAGATTCCTTGAGACACCATTAGCAATCTCAACAGTCCGTGTGCCAGCGGCTCACTTCCGTTTCCGGCCGCTGTCGAAAGGTAGAAAGGTGACGACTCATCGTCACACTGCGTTTCCCCCCCCCATTTGTCATGTCTTGACTCGAGGCCGTGAGATTGCAGCCCAAAGAGGGTCGGGGGGGGGAGGGGAGGGGAGGGGAGAGAGAACCAGTATGTGCTCGCAAGCCGCCGTCTTCTCCGCCTGTTAATGCCGACTGAAATGTCTCCGTAGGTTGAGAATTTCTTCTGTATGGGATCTCCATTAGCAGTGTTTTTGGCCTTGCGCGGCATCCGTCCCGGAAACAGTGGAAGTCAAGATCACATTCTGCCCCGAACTCTTTGTAACCGGTTGCTAAACATTTTTCATCCAACAGATCCAGTGGTGAGTGTTAGTGCAGTAACAAGCTTTCACCTCGAGAGCAGAGGCGGCCCTACCCTGAGGCAAGGTGAGGCGGCGCCCTCATGTGGTTGGGGTGGTTGCGGGGACCGTGAAGGGCGGCAGCGGAGCAGAAGACGGACTGGGCCCATGAGGCACAAATCACGGGCGTCCTCCTGGGCCGCCGCATCTAAATGAACGGGAGGGCTTCCACAGAGCCGGTCCCTTTCGTTTAGGTGGGGCTCGGGCAGGAGGGCGTCCTCATGGCTTGTATCCCATGCTGGCAGCGGAAGGGAAGGAGGCGCCCATGGGATTTTCTGCCTCGGCCCTGCTCGAGAGTTATCTGTAAAATCCACCAATCGGACAATAAATGTGGTGCGTACGAAGGGATCGTCAGGGGTTCCCACGCGGACTAGGGGTGTGTGTCTGTGCCACAGCGCAGCCTGGCAAAGCGCTGTCTTTTTAAAGCCGAAAATCGATGCCTCATAAAAAGAAACCAATCTAGAGTCCCGTGGCACCTTTGAGACCAAGAAAGGTTTATTCAAGGTATGAGAAGAGAAGGGAGATTGGATTTATACCCCACCCTTCACTCAGAGTGGCTTACAGTCTTCTTTCCCTCCCCGCAACAGACACCCTGTGAGGTAGGTGGGGCTGAGAGAGCTCTGACAGAATTGTCCTTGAGAGAACAGCTCTGACAGAACTAAGGCTTGCCCAAGGTCATCCAGCAGCTCCAAGTGGAGGAGTGGGGAATCAAACCCGGTTCTCCCAGATGAGAGTCCGCGCACTTAACCACGACACCAACCTGGCTCTCTTATTTGCTGTTCATTCTCCGGCTATAAGTCTGCGCCTTGCCTGCCATTCTATTGTATATGATGAAGTGTGCATGCACACAAAAGCTCACACCTTGAATAAACCTTTGTTGGCCTTAAAGGTACCCGCCTGGACTCGAAATTTGTTCTGCTGCTTCAGACCAACATGGCTGACCAACCGGATCTATCTGCATAAAAGGAAAGGGATTGATATAAAAGGGAAAGCTCAAAGTGCAGTCCTCAGCCGTGGGGTGAACCCCGCCGTCACAGCTGAAACGACCAGCACAAACTGAACAGCGGTCAGCATTGCTGCAGTAGAAGTGGATGATTTATTATTTCTAAAATTTATATCCTGCATTTCTGCCCTTGCAGATGAATGGCCGGGGGGGGAGGGGGGAGCAAAAAGTGGAGATTCACAGTATGGGGAAACTAACCAAAGACCAGAAACCCATGAATATAATAATAAAGAATGTATAAAAATAACTTGTAAATTTTTATCAAATGTTCAGTTCAATATTGAAAACACCTCCAAGTTCCCACAAATTTCCTATCTCAGTCAGTCCTTCTCAGTGAGGCAATAAGGTCCGATGTTGACGGAGACTCTGTTCTTTGGAAATTTTGGAGCTGTTTTATCAGACCAAACTAGGAAGCAGGAAGATTAAATGCAATGTAGAATATAGACAGACTTCACGTTCCTGGGATCCAAGATCACTGCAAACGGTGACTGCAGCCATGAAATGTAAGGACGCCTACTCCTTGGGAGGAAAGCGATGGCAAACCTAGACAGCATAATAAAAAGTAGAGAAATTACCCTGGCAACAATAGAGACAGCTCCCTGCCAACAAAAGTCCGTATGGTTGAAGCACTGGTATTCCCAGTAGTCATGTATGACTGCAAGAGTTGGACTCTAAGGAAGGCCAAGCGCTGAAGAATAGATTCTTTTGAACTATGGTGCTGGAGAAGACTCTTGAGAGTCCCTTGGTCTGCAAGGAGATCAAATCAGTCCTAAAAGAAATCAACCCTGACTGTTCCCTGGAAGGCCAGATAATGAAACTGAAGCTCAAATACTTTGGCCACCCAATGAGAAGGGAGCCCTCACTGGAGAAGACCCTGATGCTGGGAAAGATTGAAGGTCAAAGAAGACGGGGACGGCAAAGGATGAGATGGTTAGACAGTGTCATCGATGCAACAAACATGAAACTGAGCAAACTTCAGAGGACGGCAGAAGACCGGAAGGCTTGGCGTGATCTGGTCCACGGGGTCGCAAAGAGTCGGACTCAACTGTGCGACTGAACAACAACAACAAGATTAATTATGTTCAGTTGCAGTACCTGTTGCCGAAGAACTGTGGAAATGAGATATTAATTACCGGTGCCCCGTTAACAGGATTGCCTTGTCTCCGTCAACATCGGACCTTATTGGTTCACTGAGAAAGACTGACTCAGATAGGAAATCTGTTGGGACTTGGAGGTGCTTTCAATATTGGACTGACACCAGAGAGATTTTGTATAATATTCTTCATTCAGAATGGAACATGTGATAAAAATTTACTTTTATAATTTTTTTGTTATTATACCAGGGATTTCTGGTCTTTTCTTACTAATGAATGGACATGGATTTGTTCAATCGCTCAGCCTTTTTTAACTGACCCCCCCCCCCATCTTTTGTAAGAATACAAAACTGCTCTAAAGTTTGGGGGTGGAGTTTTCATGGTAGTTTCAGAGCACTAACCAGTCGGCGCTGTGTGCAGACACTTTCTGCTTCCAGCTCCACAGAACTGTGTTTCCTAAGTGAATCGGCAGATCCGGAGTGGCCCAAATACTCTAAATGGCTGCGTGTGTCTGAGCCTTCTTACAGGGTCTGTCTTTTTCAAGTTCTGTGGTCGATCAGTTGGAAAACGCTGCGACAAACATTCCATCACATTTTCTTTAGTAATCATTTGTACCTGGTGAAATGCGCTTTCTTGAATACGCTTCAGAGACATAAAACAATGTGAACCCACAGCAGATACCATTTAAAAACTGTTTCACCACGGACTTCAGCTCTGTGCGTCCCTCTGGCGTAGGGGAGCTGAAATACGAATTTGTCCAGAAAGCTTCTGTTTGGTCAGGTTCCAGAGCCTCAGTGCTCCAGTGACTTCAAGGCATTCTGGAAGGGCCCGCTTTCGAATACTTCTCAGCCTTTTGGGCCTCGTGCAGATGCGGAGAATTCTCGCATGTCTCTGGTTTCCAAACTGCTCTACAGATAGAGTAATTTATAAATAACCTTATTGTTTTATATATAAAAAAATACTTCCGTGTCTCTCCCTTAAGGCATTCTTTGTTTCCAGTACGTCTGATTGTTTCTTCATGTCACAGTATAAAATCAATAAAGGCCTGCGGAGAGGCGGTCTAACTTTTCCTAAGCATTCAGCTCCCCCGAGGCGTTTCAGATAGTCATTCTATTCTACCAGCTAAAGTTTCGCAGGAGTTAATGGTTTGAACATGAAGGGGAGAGAAGTTTGCTCTTCTAGATGGAGACAGATGTCCAAAGAAAAGTTGGGCCCCTGCGTCTCACTCAAGGGCTTCCCACTTTTTTCTTCTTGCAGGCCTACAGACTAGAACCTCTGATTCTGAAGCACTATAGCAACATTTCCCCCGTCCAGATCCACTGGTACAACACCACCAACCCTCTACCTTACGAGCACATGAAGCCAAGTTTCCTCAACCCGACAAAAGAGCCTACCTCAGTTTCCGAGAGCGAATCCATCCCGACGATACCCAGCCCGACGACGTCGCCCGTCATGGCCCGGCGGCACTACGGAGAGTCTATAACAAATATAGGCAAAGCAAGTATAATGGGTAACTATTTCCGATTTCCATAGGATGAAATCCCCCCCACACACACACACTTTGACCATCAGGTTCACAAGGGACCACGGCCCAGTTCCATCTCTGCTTAATCTCACCTCTAGGGGGTAAAATTGGCAGAGGCAGGCAGGGGGGAATCGGCTGAAGACCATTGAAGAGAGGCTACTCTAAGCCGCTTAGAAACAAGGGCAGGATTTTTTTAAAAAAAGTATGTCCTGTTTGCTGCCTCTAAAACATGGGCTCTCGGGATGCGAGGGTTTGAGTACATTTCATAAGTTAGAATCATAGTGTTGGAAGGCACCTCCACGGTCATCTAGTCCAACCCCTTGCACAGCACAGGACATTTACAAATACCTTCCCCTTCCAACACCCCCAGTGAGTGACCCCTGCTCCACGGCCAGAAGATGACAAAAAAAATCTCCAGGATCCCTGGTCAAACTGACCTGGAGGGAAATTGCTGCCTGACCCCCAGTTGCTTCCTACACCACCAGACTGTGTGCCGTACCCACGGTTAAATGGAAGGAGAAACTAGTACTTTTTTCTGGCGGTGGAATATTGGGTTGGATCCCACTATCCGTCTTCACCACTTTAGGAATATCATTTTAGGCTGCTGAACATTTTGTGCTGTTTTTGAGCCCGTGGATTGTGCTTAATTGCTTGTTTTCATTTTTATTGTTTTCTTCCTGTTGTTTTTTAATGATTTTATTGTATTGTTTTTGCTTGGTGAGCGTGTCTTTGAAGAGACCGCATGTAAATTCTCTGACTAATAGTGTTGTGACCACAAGGTGGCAGCCGTGTCAGAGGAAAAGTTGGCGTGGCTTTGAAATACCAGTTGTTGACTTTTAAGCCGTAACAGTGAGAGCTCTCGCAGTCTTGCTCCCATAATCAAGGTAGTGGCCATCCCGATAGGAACAGCAGCAGTGGTGAAAATTTGTGCAAGATGCATAGCAATGGTGAAAGTATGTGGGGGTGGGAATGACCAGTAGTCCTCTGATGGCAAACTTAGACAGCATAATACAAAATAGAGACAGCTCCCTGCCAACAAAAGTCCGTATGGTTGAAGCGATGGTATTCCCAGTAGTAATGTATGGCTACGAGACTATAAGGAAGGACTATAAGGAAGGCCGAGCACCAAAGAATAGATGCTTTCAAATTATGGTGCTGGAGAAGACCCTTGAGAGTCCCTTGGACTGCAAGAAGAACAAATCAGTCAATCCTAAAAGAAACCAACCCTGACTGTTCCCTGGAACGCCAGAGACTGAAGCTGAAGCTCAAATACTTTGGCCACCAAATGAGAAGGGAGCGCTCGCTGGAGAAGATCCTGACGCTGGGAAAGACCAAAGGTCAAAGAAGAAGGGGATGGCAAAGCATGAGCTGGCTGGACAGTGTTATCGATGCAACGAACATGAAATTGAGCAAACTTCGGAGGTCAACGGAAGGCAGGAGGGCCTGGCGTGATTGTGGTCCATGGGGTCGCGAAGAGTCGGACTCCACTGTGCAACTGAACAGCAAAAATCATACGTTCATCACTGATCTTCTGTGCAGGGGGACTGCACATGAGCAAGCCGGCCATCGGATAGGTCTTTAGCGCTACAAGCCTCCAGGGGACGCTGTGCGCCGGGGTCAGCAGCTTGTTCCCGCCCAGGAGCCACGTGTTCTTGCACAACAGTGCCCCCCCCCTCAGTTCCTCTTTTGCCACTGAAGGAGGAGGTCATGTTTTTGGAGTCTCCAGCTGCAGCTGAGAGTAGAACATCCAGATCTGTTGAAGCGATGTTGGCTTCTGAGTCCCCTCCATGGCTCCGAAGGCCCTTTTCAAGAGGCGCAGGCGCTCCCGATGCGGAGCAAAGGTGACGCAAACTGGCAAACATGACCTTCGTTCTGTTTGAGTGACGGGCATAGTGTCTCCACATGTAAGGCCTGCCAGCGCTTCACCCCTAAAGCTCGGGGGGATGTTGTTCAGTCGCACAGTCGAGTCCGACTCTTCACAGCCCCACGGACCACATCACGCCAGGCCCTCCTGTCTTCTGCCGTCCTCCGGAGTTTGCTTAATTTCATGTTTGTCGCATCGATGACCGGGGGGGATAGGGAGTCCGAACTTAAGGCAGCGTCGAGTCATCGCACTCTTGTCTTGGGGACCTGTCAGAGACTAGGAGTCCTGGTAAATTGGGATAGATCACAACTAATTCCATATTAGAGGGTACAATTTATTGGAGCTATGCAAGATTCCCAAGTGGGGAAGGGTTTTCTCCCTCCCGGAAGGGCACAGGCTACCTCTGCCTTGGTGAGACAGTTCAGAGCTCACCGGTTCCAATCAGTTCATAAAGTTCTGCGCCTTTTGGGACACGTGGCTTTTACCACCGCAGTCCTGCCTATGGCTGAGTTACAGATGCGACCCCTGCAGCTCCGGTTTCCGTGTCATCATAGTGCTGGAGTTCATGCTTTATGGCACAGTTACTCTTATTTCCAGACCTGTCATACATTCTTTATCGTGTCGGTCCTCATGGGGAATTCATCCCAGAGGGTTTCCTTTAGAGTTTCTGAACGTGAGGTAGTCCTCACCATGAACACTTCACTCTTGGGCTGGGGCATCCACTGCGAGGGATTGTCGGCTGGGGTACTTGGTTAAAAGATGAGAAGCCGCTGCACATTAATGGTTTAGGATCATGAGCACTTTGTCACACCCTGAGTTGTTTCTCAGACATCCATCGGAACCGATCCATTCTTGCCCAGATGGACAATGCAGTTCCAATGTTTTATTTAAACAAGCAAGGGGGTCCAAGGCAATGCTCCCTCTAAGCTGTAGAGTCTTGTGAGCAAAAATTCTACTTTGTGAGCTCCTGGCATTAAAGTTGTGAGCTGGCGATTTGGCGGCTGCATAAGTTAGTTTGCTCTGGAGCCCTCCTTCATGAGCTAAGACAAAAATGTGTGAGCCAGAGGCTTAAAAACTGTGAGCTAGCTCACACTAACTCAGCTTAGAGGGAACACTGGTCCAAGGTCCAGAGGTCTATGTCAGGCAGCTACCCTTGCATGGGACATGGCAGCGAAGCTCCTTTCCTTTGGCTCAGGGAGCTTTAACTGTCAAAACCTTATACCCAGAAAGTCTCGTTGGGCTCTATGGCACTACTGGACTCAATCTTAGCTAGAGATGTGAAGGCCCGGAAAAAAACCGGAAAAAGTTGGGGAAAAAAGAGTTTTTTTCTGTTTTTTTCCTGAAGCCTTTTTTGTTTTTTTCCGAAAAAATGGAAAAATGGAAAAAGAAAAGAAAAAAAATTGATTATGGAATGTTTTATTTTAACATGATGAATAAAATATTTTAAGAGAAGGTGTTCAAATATTTTCCAAATCATTTCTAATATATATATATGGTATCAGATTGATCTAATTTCTGTGCACTGAAGACAAGCAAGTCCTAGGTTACAAACTGAACTCTCCAATGCAAGAACAAGATGCATTTCTTCCTTTAGGAGGTGCGATTGTCACGAGAAAATAAAAAAGTTTCAGGTTTGTTTTTGCATGTGGGTGGGTATTCTGTTTGTAATAATTGTTTGGATACACTATATTTTTAATATGCTAGTTGTGATAATTTCATGCCAAGTAAAAATGTCCATAGTCATATTTTATGTTCCTAAAGTAACAGAATGACTTTCAATCTAGAAAAGACAAAAGAAATGCTAATGTAGCATTTTTTTCAATTTTTCCGAAAATTTCCATTTTTTTCCAGAAAAAACTGGGAAAAAATCGGGGTTTTTTTCTGAGCTTCAAAATTTCCGAAAATTTTACATCTCTAATCTTAGCTGTTCTAGCATTGAATTCTACAAGGAGCAGTTCTTAATCATTTAGCCAGTAGAAAGCTGTTACCAGGATAGATCTCTAAATTGCAAACTGTCAGCCACCTGAGATGACCATTCTCAACTGCTGCAAAAGTTAATAACTTCTGCCAGCCTATGCAACCATTCTGATAACAAGCCAGCAGGTAGGGGTGATGACTTCTAAAATCAAGAAAGCTAACACCTAGGCAGAAAAGCCGCTAGAGGAAGCCAGAAAAACAACAAGCCCTGGGTGCTGGTAGGCAGACACCACCCATCAACAATGTGGCCCTAGTTAGGGAATTTGGAATATGTATGTAAAACCGCTCAGAGACCTGCCAAAATAGGTTAGAGCGGTATATAAATTGAATGAATAAATAAATAAATAAAAGCTCTCTTAGAGGAGATCAGCTTCTTGACACAGAGTTAGAAGGGATCCTAGAGGTCACCTACTCCAACCCCCTTGCTCAGTGCCGGAATTAGTCAACTACAGCACCCCATGCTGCTTAAAGGAGCACATGCCTTTAAAAAAAATGTTTTAAAATGATTGAAAAAAGCATTTACATGATAAATTCTCTCTCTTTTTTTTTTTTACTGTCCCGAAGGACACGATTTTATTAATTTTCCAAACAATACACATACGACATATAAATTCTTGTGGGGCTGTGCCTTTAAGAAAGGGGGTGGAGCCCCCAGAAGCCTCACTGTAGCCATGGGCCTGGCCAGCCATATGGCAGATCCCACCTCCTACTCTAATTTCCATTTTACTTAATCCATGTTCTGACCGAGGACACTTTCACGCTTGCTAAATAATGCCGTTTTGTTCTAGCGACCATTTGCAAGTGGATTTTGCCGTTTCACACAGTAAAAAACTCCAGTTGCAAAGAGCACTGAAAGTTGATTGAAAGGGCGTTATTTAGCGTGCGTGAAAGCACCCCTGGTGATGATTTTGTACACTGAACACCCCTCCCCCCGCTACCACCAGCAGAAGGGAAGGAGTAGACGCAAAAGGTAACAAGGTAATAAAAGGTAAAAGGTAATTTAAAAAAGGTAATAAAAATAATATTTTTAATTATTTATTTATTTAACTTATACCCCACCCTCCCCACCGAAGCACACCTAGGGCAGCTTACAAAAGCAACATAGAAATGGTAGTAACAACAGCTCAAAACATAAAGTGCTAGCAAGTTGTAACTATACATTAAGGATGGCAGCAACGGTTACTTTGTTCCTCAGTTCTTGATCTTCATCACATATATACAACTGGCATAGATTGTAATGGCGGAGTCCCTTTCGTGATGATGTTTTTGATGGTGATGGTAACGATGGCGGCTTCTTAATCGAAGGCCTGGTGGAAGAGCTCCGTCTTGCAGGCCCTGCGGAACTGTACTGGGAGCTCATTTCACCAGCACGGAGCCACCACCAAGACGGCCCTGGCCCTGGTTGTTGCCAGTCTGGCATCTTTGGGGCCCGGAAGGGTCAAACCATTTTGTGACCCTGAACACAGTGCTCGCTGGGGTACATATGGGGAAAGGCAGTCCCTCAGGTATGTCGGCCCCTGACTATATAGGGCTTTAAAGGTAAGAACCAGCACCTTGAAGTGAACCCGGAATGCTCTTGGCAGCCAGTGTCATGCCTGTAAGTCGTGTCTGAGGCTAGCAGGGTGAGCGTGGGGAAGCCAAGCACCCGTCCTCCGGTTCCGGCAGCACCTACTCCTCAATAGCGATGTTCCGTTTGGCTCTGCGCATGTTTGCCATCACAAAGTGTAAGTCGTCTTTTGTGTTGTGCCCGAACCCAGGTGCGGCCAGCATCGGGAAAGGCCTCGGTGGGATGCTCTTCTCCAGATTCGGACGCTCAAGTGCCCCCGCCTCCCAGGCCCTCGAGCCAGGAAAAGAAGGGGCGGAAGCAGAGGAGAAGAAGGCGGCCTCCAGCCAAGCCCTGATTGGGACTCAGGCCTTCCCCCACAGCAGCTCTGGCTTCCTGGACCCGACAGGTGAGTGGACGGTCTCTGGCCCCCGAGGTCTCCGTTGTGTGCCCCTTTTCTCCCCTGAGTGGAAACAGAAGAGGGGCTTTTCAGTTTAGGAAAGAGACGAATGGGGGGTTTGTAAAATTGTGCACAGGGTGGAGGGAGTTGACCAAGAGAACTTCCTCTCCCAAAAGACTAGAACTCAAGGGCATCTAATGAAGCTGATGGGCAGTAGCGTTAGGATGGACAAAAGGAAGCCAGTTTGGTGTAGTGGTTAAGTCCGCGGACTCTAATCTGGGAGAACCGGGTTTGATTCCCCACTCCTCCACACGAAGCTGCTGGTGTGACCTTGGGTCAGTCAAAAGTCCTTTCAGAGCTGTTCAATGGAGCTCTCTCAGCCCCACCTACCTCACAGGGGAGGGGAGGGGAAGGGAAAGGAGACTGTAAGCCGCTCTGAGACTCCTTCGGGTAGTGAAGGGCGGGGTATACATCCAATCTTCTCTTCCTCTCTTCTTCCCCCAAGGACGGCAGAGGTGAAAAGAAACGGGGGGTGGTCCAAAGCAGGGCACGTGTGGCCGTGGCTTTCTTCTTGGGGTGGCCACATCGCGGTGGGGGGTCGTCCTTCCTGACCTCGTGTCTCCTTGTGTTTCCTGCCTAGTGGAGCTGGAGCAGAGGATCGACTTTGAGCTCAGGGAAGGCCTGGTGGAGAGCAGATACTGGTCGGCCGTCACGTCGCACACGGCCTACTGGTCGTCCATGGACATTGCCCTCTTCCTCCTCACCTTCATGTACAAGCAGGAGCAAGAAGAGGAGGACGGCATCAAATCACAGCCAGACCCTGTTTGATTTTTGCTTGGGGGGGGGGGGGGGGAGGGAATGGGGATAAAACTCATTGAACATCATAGACAAATCTTAAAGGGAAAGTAAGGCGCACGGATGTTTCAGGTTTCAATGCATGTCTGGGTTTCTTCCTTCCAAGATTCTTTGTCCTTCCGGACACCCGCCTGCTTCTCGGACCATCCACCGTTCTCACGAAGGTCCTCTTGGAAAGGCAGCCCTCGGTTCTCGCGGTCTGCATCTGGACAGCCAAGCCAGCAGTAGCGTTTTAGCATCTCTGCTAAGGGTCGGGCCGGGGGGGGGGGGGGGGTTTTTGGGCGGGTTTAA